CTCAGCCAATCACAAACCAGAAACATGTGCTCTGTGTTCGGGCCTCCTGATTGGCTGGATCCTCTCTGGGAGTACCTCAGGTGTGTTTGAACCTGCAGATGGACTTCACAGTAGAGCAGACAGGCCCTCGTGTTCTGCTTTATTTATGATGTGTTTATGCTGCAGTGACTTAAACCCAACGTTCTTCTATCACAGCCGTGCTGAGGTCCAAACGCAGACTTCGTCTCTGTGGAAACTTGGTCTTATCATGATTATTCTGCATGTTTCTTAATGCCACACCATCATCATCCTCATCATCATAATGAATAACACAACTCTGTTTCCTGTGCATAAATAAAAGCCTGTGTCTCCATCTGCTCCGCACGTCATCCTAACCTGTGCAGGTGGGACCTTTAGCTCTTAACAGTTACAGCTCCTGAAGAACACGAGTCTGAACCGTCACAGAGCGGGGACGCGTTTATTGAAACAGATATAATGAAATAAAAGGACCGAGTGTGACAGGGCTCCATCAGCGGACAGTTACAGACACTTTTATTACACATTAAACACACACAGAGCCTCCTGCTGCCATCCAGTGTCTGAGCTGGTGCTCCTCCTGCAGGCCACAGCTGTGGATCGATCACCTGTGGATCAGCGACTCTACAGGACATCAGAAATGCGACGTGTGGAGGAAAAAGCAGCAGCTCGCAGTCTGGACTGTAACATGTTCTTATCCTCTAACGGGGACCAGAAACAGGGAGAAGTCTGCCATCTAGTGGTGATAAAGTGGAGCTGCAGGGACATGAAGACGTTGAGAGGACAGCAGGAACACTGAGGGGTGGATGAAGACAGATTAAAGGGAGACGAGCAGGAGACAGAAACATCAGATGATCTCTGCACATCATCCTGGAAGCATTCAGTGCTCCTCGTGTTGTCACGTTACAGCTTTATTCCATGACATTCATTTTCACCTCTGCACACAGTAAACCGTCTCTACAGTCAGCTGACTGTCCATGTTAAAGTATAAGATGGACACAAGTACTCACAGCCCCGACACTCATGTTTGTTCAGCTGTGCACACTGATCGTCTGTCAGTAAGGTCTGCAATCTGGGCAATCTTCTGCGCCTCTCATCTAGTACCTACTCGGCTGAGCTCAACCTAGTTTCTAGGGTTTTCCATCAGGGAGTAGTACCTGGTACCAGG